AAATCCTATTTTACAGATTACATCAGCAAATACAACTATAGGACAGCAAGTTCTGACAAGCCGTGGACTGAACTTTAATGGCTACTTTTACTGGATATCAGTGGGTGCCTTGGTCGGATACGTTTTGCTCCTTAATGTGGCATTCTCTTTGGCAATAACTCTCAGAAAACGTAAGAAGTATAACCAACTAATATGATAAGAATCATATAACTCTCAAGTATCCTACATTCTCATAAGGGAAAAGAAAAGAAAACTTACAAAATGTATTCCAATTTCAGAACCTGGTGTATCTCAAGCAATTATATCCCAAGAAAAACTTTACCAAATAAAGGGAGAAGAAGACACTAAGGACGAAAGGAAACTACATGATACTTCACCAAGTATATCTCCTAGGACTGCCACAGAACATAAGAGAACAGGTACGGCTGTTTAGTCTGATTCTTCATCAAGGAAGAAAAGTTGATACTGGTTAGGACTTGGAGGAAATAAAAATAAACTAAACTTAATGAAACATGCTGCAGGAAGGATGGTTTTACCATTCATTCCCCTCACAGTAGCATTTCAGGACGTGAAGTACTATGTTGACACTCCTCTGGTAATCATGTTATGATCCTAGATCACTATAATATATGGAAATTCACATTATTAATACTCATACTGTTCCATACTAGGAAATGAGAGAACAAGGCTATACGGAGAAACAGCTACAACTTCTCCACAATATTACCGGCACATTCCGTCCTGGAATTCTTACAGCGCTTATGGGTGTTAGTGGTGCAGGGAAGACCACGTTATTGGATGTTCTTGCAGGAAGAAAAACAGGGGGTACAATCGAAGGGGACATAAGAATTGGAGGATATCCTAAGGTACAACAAACATTTGCTAGGATATCAGGTTATTGTGAGCAGAACGACATACACTCTCCACATATTACTGTAGAAGAGTCAGTAATATATTCAGCCTGGCTGAGGCTACCATCTCAAGTTCATCCAACCACTAGATCTGTGAGTTTGCGCATCTCTTTTTTCCATGAACTATCAGTCTATCACTATAACTCTCATAGAATCACATGTATACAATAGATCAATAATACTGCCAGTTCAATTGATATCTTTCTTGTTAGATTTAGTACCAGTTGTGTTTGATCAACAGGAGTTCATAAATGAAGTGCTTGAAATAATTGAGCTTGATGGCATCAAAGCCTCCTTAGTTGGAATACCTGGGGTCAGCGGATTATCTACTGAGCAGAGGAAACGACTGACTATTGCTGTAGAACTTGTTGCAAATCCATCTATTATATTCATGGACGAACCCACATCAGGTTTAGATGCTAGAGCAGCTGCAATAGTAATGCGTGCAGTGAAAAACGTTGTTGGGACAGGACAAACAGTGGTCTGCACCATTCACCAACCTAGTACTGATATTTTTGAGGCATTTGATGAGGTAATAATGGATTTATGTTGCAAATACACGGATAATAATGCAGCAAAAACCCACTAAAAAGGAAAAAATTCTAGGAGAAATAAACCATAATCTTAAGTGTATATAACCAGAATTTTTTAACACATCTTTTTATGACTTGACGATATCAGCAACATGTAAGAGTGTGGTGACTATTTAATGGCCACATAGTTCTAAATTTCTGAAAGGTACCGAACAAAAGAACTGAATTTTCATTAAACAGAAATAAAACATCTATGTCATCTGTAGATGAAAACCGTCGCAGGATCAAAGAGCTGAACCATGGCTACCGAACACTAAATATGGACAGGAGACTTCTATCTAAAAAATTGTTTTAAGACAACATACCATGTTAGAAAATATAGGAAACAGTTCCAATACTTATAGGATATCATACTTATACTCTTAAGATCTTTTTGACACTTCATGATAATTATTTAACTTTAATAAAAAACACATATGCATACTTTTTGGACTGAAAAACTAAAAAATAATTCAAAAATAGTTGTAGTATTTACTAAAGAACCATTTATATAGACAAACTTATTGAAAATTACTTATATTAAACCTTAAACTTTAGCTGTTGAATGGAGAACACAAATTAAGTAAATTAAGTACACAATAAGAATTAAATTTACTTAAGGTTACATTAAAAAAAGTTTCTACTTTCTTCAAGTTGCACACTACAATATCCTTTCTGTGTGAAACTTATTTTTTTTCCTCGTACAGCGATCTCTAAATTTATTTGAACAGTTACAAATAAAAGTTTAACAAAAACACAATTGAGCATACTATACATACACATAGACATATATGAATATGACTATACATATATGTGTCCTACGTTTTTTTGCGAGTATGTATCTTACGTATCTTATTTCAATAATTCCATATTGATAACTATGAGCTTTACTACTACCTTTACTATCCAACCTACTGAAAGATCCCTGCAGATAGCATAATCAATGTTGATGATTCTAGATATAGCCAATATAGCATTCTTCATCTGATATCTTAACTTCTCGCTACAAAAATTAATGCATTAGAGTATTTTATTATCTGGATTAGTTCTCTGTCTCTGCGTTCAATTCAGGCTTTTGCTGAGAAACAAAAATTTCATTTTCCTGCAGCTAATTTTAATGAAAAGGGGAGGTGAACTGATATATGTTGGGCAGTTAGGTCAGCATTCATGTGAAGTTATTGAATATTTTGAGGTAAGTTATCCATATACATTATCATCTAGGTTATAAAGTCTACTATATTTCATTTTCCTGCAGCTAATTTTAATGAAAAGGGGAGGTGAACTGATATATGTTGGGCAGTTAGGTCAGCATTCATGTGAAGTTATTGAATATTTTGAGGTAAGTTATCCATATACATTATCATCTAGGTTATAAAGTCTACTATTAGATAGAATCAGAGATATGTGATGCTGTCTTCTATAGTTCAAAACTACGGCACACAGATTACATTGTCTTAGATCTCTCTTCCATCTGTGCTATCTTTATTAAGTTTGAAACTCTTATAAGTTTGAAACTGAACCACATAAGGTGTAAGGTTCATTACAACCAAACCACAGCTATATGTCTTGTCAAGTAAGCCTGAATATTACACAGTTTCATTATACTTGTGCATGAAACTTGAAAAGAAATTTTTATTTTACTTCAGAGATAAATTATGGTGTTATGTATGTATATAGCGACAAAGAGAAATAAAACACATTTCATCAATACATCTACTAAGTAGCTTAAGCTGATTGTTCCTGATCTTACTGTATCAGGGCATTACAGGGATACCAAGGATAAAGAAAAATTATAATCCAGCAACATGGATGTTGGACGTTACCTCTACATCTGTTGAAGCGCAACTTAATGTAGATTTTGCACAAATATACAGACAGTCGCCACTATACAGGTGAATTAATTATTAATATGCAGATGCTTATATTTAATATTTGCTTATGCCTTTGATGCTAAGTGTACAATTGGAAGACCTTATAAATAAACAATTTCTATCAAAATATGAAACATTATCATGACATTGTTCAAATTTTATCTAGGTGCAGATTGTAAAAGTTACCTTATGTTCTATTTTCCCCAATTCCAGGAATAATCAAGAGCTCGTCAGACAAGTTAGCAAACCACCACCAGATTCAAGTGATTTACACTTTCCCACTCATTTTCCACAAAATGGATGGGTGCAGTTCAAAGCTTGCCTGTGGAAACAGTACCTGTCATACTGGAGAAGTCCTTCATATAACTTGACGCGCATGATATTTGTAATTATCTCCTCAACTGTATTTGCAGTTCTGTTCTGGAAGCATGGGAAGACACTGTAAGTCAGTATACATGTGTCAGGAGCTTTAAAATAGAAAAGTCAATGATTCTTCTAGCTGGAATTTTCATATATTATATAATAATAAATATCAAAGCAGATCCTTGGAAAAGGCAAAACGTTACGGTTAGTGCCACAAATAGAAGCTAATAAGGCAGGAAAATGAAACATAAGAAAACAAGACAGCCAGTGCATCATTTATGAGGCAGGAAGATGTGCATGGAGGGAGTGAGGGAGGGATATGAGAACAGGTGTGCTTGCTCTATTGGATTGGACTCTATTACAGAGGCAAACATTAATTGCATTAAAGTAATTAGCTTTTGAACACTATCCTATTGAAATAAATGGACAATGATTATTCGCAAAAAAAGGCCATAAACAAATGAAACATAAAAAATAATTGTAAAAAAACCACATCACATAAGTGACATGCACATTGCTCCAAAATCCTTATTTAGAATACAAGAACATGTTGAGTGTATTTGTGGAAGCTGACATGCCCCACTGAATGGTTTTGAAACCACAAGATAAGGACCATAGCTGACCAGGATGCAGGTTAAAGAAGAGTTCAAAAGGCATTTTGACGCAGCTAGGCCATGGCAGATAATTCTTTTAAATTTCCCCTCAGGATATGGTGCTCTCGAGCTCTTGCTTAATCATGTTTGATTAGATACCACTAAGATCACTGCTGCGACATGATTCTCAAAAAAGAATCAAGAATTAGATCAAATTTCAAAGTGATAACCCAAAATGTTGAACTCTGAAGGGAAACTCAGAATTAAGTATTAAAAACCACAAGAAGACCCTTGCCTCTTACCTCAGACACTAAATGGGAGAGGCCATGTTAGACCTCAAGTATAATAAATGGAACGATTTTAATCAGTGCTCCAATTTGGAATACCCTTCTCAGACATAGGCTTGAAGCATCAGCGAATAGAATGACAAACAAAAATCTGATACATTCATGAAAAAAGTTCTCTACATTGAGCAGATTTCTCCGTAGAATACCACACTGGTGGATTCTATTTTTAAGACTAATACATATATGGGCTATACTTTCTGTACTGACGTCTGTTTGTTTCATTTGTTGAAGAAACAACCAGCAAGATCTGTTCAACATGCTGGGGTTAATGTACGTTGTCACGAACTTCTTCGGCATAAACAACGCATCCTCAGTTTTGACATTCGTAGCAACTGAACGAACTGTTCTATACCGTGAGAAATATGCAGGAATGTACTCTCCATGGGCCTACTCATTAGCACAGGTTAAAAAAGTCATCTTTATATGTAGCGTCTTAGACACACACCCATTGATACATGAAAACACACCATAAACAAATAGCTTACATGACTTTACAGTAAGTTCTGATATTCTTTATTTTCGGCAGATGGTAATTGAGATTCCTTATGTATTCATCCAAGTAGGATTATTTATGGTCATCACATATCCAACAATTGGCTATTATTGGTCAGCTCAAAAGTTCTTATGGTTCTTCTTCACCATGTTCTGCACATTGCTCACTTATGTTTACCTAGGAATGTTGATTGTTTCATTGACCCCCAATGTTCAAGTGGCTTCCATACTGCAATCTCCCTGCTATGGCATTCTAAATCTCTTCTCTGGCTTCATCATACCAGGCCCAGTAAGTTTTCCTTTCACTTAATTACATATTTCCATGGAACAAAATCTCCTTTACCATATTTAGAACAGCTGATGTTTTTACAGTCAATACTGCTGTAATACATTTCTTCCTAACAATTTTCCTCTGACAATACTGTTAAAAGCACATAAATTAAGCTTAAGTAATAAGTACATCTTGGCCGTCTGACATTCAACAAAGTTGTAATGCAAGGCTGGTTTTTGGATAAAATCAGTGCTAGAAAATAACTTGTAGAAAAAATTGCATAAGATGGGTTGAATTCTTATTGCCAGATTTATTGGTTAAATTAACTCTCTTAAAGAATCCTTCATATTCAATCACATGCATACAGTTAAATCCAGAAGTGTAAGATGATTTTTTTCCTTTCTTTATACAGTTCATTTTATTTTCAAATTGATAATGTAATTTCATTTGGTATTCTATTAAAATTGTGTCTTAAATAAATACAATTTCCTGCAGTATAGCTTTCCATGTATCCTATTTCTGTTTCTAAACTCCATGCTGAGAGAACTTGGGAGCATGCCCTTTTTTGGAGGTTAAACTGTTCACCAAAGGCAAATTTTCCTCGCAACCAAACAATCCCTTCAAG